ACCAGACGGCGCCGCTGGGCCAGACGCCGGCCGCTTAGGGCCAGACGGCGACCACTGCTGGGCCAAGCGCGCGACAGCTCAGACTGCGGGCGGAATGTTTGTCTGGCAATGCCACCGGTCCGGGAAAATCCAGGACGGCTGACAATGGGGTTGTGTGTAGTTGGATTGCAGAACGATATAACGCACGAAACAGCTCTAAGTTGTTGACATTTTTATACTATGAAGCAGTACTAATTTGGCGTTAGAGGGCACCAGTCTCAACTACAAATGCTTCGCCGACAAAAGATGGGTGCATGACATTAGCGCGAGTGCACTCCACTGCGACCGCGTTTTCAAGATATTCATACGCACGGCCAAGTATTAGCGCTTGGACATTTTTATTTCTGGTGAGGTGCACATCATGGTGCTACCGTGTTCTGTAGATGATTAACTGCACACTGCTGCCGAATCACGAGATTTCTTCATAAGTTAGGTTGGCGTTTCTTCATAAGCCAGGTTTGTCCTCCCCCCCCCCCCTCCCTCCCATTCCACCAATAAGCCTACCACCACGCGTTGGACCTGCATTCCGCGCCCGAACTGGTTGTCGTTTCTTCTGCGCTGTCTGGCAGCGCCGCACGCCGCGCAGTCGCCCCCCTCCCCCTCCCCCGCGCCGGGCGTGTCGCGCCGCCCCTGGCCACAGAGCCCCTCCCCCTCCCCCACCTCGGGCGCCGCGGCGCTCGCCGTCAGCTGGCCGCCGGGCCGGGGCACCCTGCCAACTATTTAGGCCGTGACCCGACCCCGACGCCCGGAGGCGCCGCCGCCGGGCGTACAGGGGTTCTCCACCGGGACGCCGGGACGCTGTCAACCCATGCTCGAGCGGGCTGATGTCTACTCAGTTCGCGCAATTGCCGTTGACATGATAATTGAACACTGACACGGTGTCATTGACGTAAGTGATGACATGACAGTAAAGTGAATGACATGACAGTAAATGAATGACATGACAGTAAAGTGAATGACATGGTTTGTGTCATTGTCATTGACATCATAATTAGACATTGACATGAATGACGTTGACTAATTGAATGGCATGATGTTATTGTTGTGGCAAAGCTGCACGATTCATACGTTTTACGTCAATTTGCAATTAAGCGGATGCAACCATTGATTAGGCGCGAAACTTTTGCATTTTCGGGGAAATGGGGTCGGCCGGGGCTTTTTTGGGAGAGGTGCTCAGGGGCTTTGGGGAGGGGCTGCCAAGCCGTCCAACTTTTTGTGAAAATTCATAACTAGATTTACAGCTGTGTATGAAAGGAAACTACTTTGAAGTAACTCCCGGTCACTCCCCCAATCTGCACAAGCTCCGGCGCTTATGGCTACAAGTGTGCTCAAAGAAGAGCGTGGGAGTGTGCGTGAGAGTGAGAGTGTGAGAGTGAGAGTGAGAGTGTGTGAAAGTGTCCAGCTGATAATGCGTCTTCATGCATTCTCTTCACGTCCGAATCATCTTTCTGAGCACGGGGCACAGGGTCATGCAAGCGTGTACTTTTAGCATGGTCACGTGCAAAATGCACATGGGTAGTTTGGTGCAGGAGACGAAGTTCCAATCTGGTGGGCAGCTGCAAACCAAGCCGCAAAGCGCCGGATCCCGGAGCTGATATCGTTCTCGTGGCCTTCAAGCCGTTGCAGATGTGACAGAACAGATGTGCATTTGCACGTTGCTGTATCACAATATACCTGGCATGCCGACTCCTCTGGGTCGCATTGTGGCCACCGTTTGCGCTGTGGCCCGCCGGGAGCTCCGGACCGCCAGCGGCCCCAGTGACAGCCCCTCCCCCTCCCCGGACAGCTGCGCTGGGCGCAGCTCCAGCGCCACGTCACCGGTCCTCCCCCCCCCCCCGCCGGAGAGCCCCACACGCCGCGCTGGGCCGGCACCCGGGCGGCAGGTGACCACGCCGGCCCCAGACGCACCCCGACACCGGGTCGACGCGTCGACAGGGGACCGGAGGCCAGAGCTTAGATGCCTGAGGCGGACATGCGCCTCGAGGCGGCTCCAGTCGTTTGGAGGATGAGAAGAATGCGCTTCTAATTCGGTCAGGGCAGTTTGTCGAGTGTTGCTGGAGTCCGGATTGACGGGATGGGGAACGCATCGCCTGTAAGACGGTTGAACGCCAGGTCGGAGACGCGACGTCCCGCGACCCCAGCCGACGTTTCCGACCCCATCCGCGGGTCGGAAACGGCAGCAAATGCGGCTTGGCTCCTCATGTATTGACGTCATTCAGACCACGTTAACACGTCGGGTGCCGTGGGGCTTCCATAACTCTCATAGCTTCAGACTCTTGTATGTGAGTTAGAGTTTTGTTTCTGCGCTCGATTGCGAAAGTGCGAAATGACTCGTAAAGGTCATTGACGTTGCTACATTTTGCTCCTCGTAAATTGGGCGTCATATATGCCATGTTTGAGAACAGTGACTGAATCAGGTGGGGCTCAGGAAGAAACAAAAATGATGACAAACGAAGATGTGCACATTAGCACACCAATGGGAGTTCCAGGCCCTCTTTTTGCATTTTAGAAGTCCAGGACTTTGACGTATCTGTCTCGTCAAGTATGTTCCGTCCATTCCGCCAAGAAGTTTGACGTGGCATACCGCTCTCACCGACGTCGCCAAAACGCAGCACCGTCTTACCGTCTCTCCGTCTGCCCTCAGTATCTTGCGTGCCTCTCGACCAGCTCCTCCAAAGACAAGCTGGCGTTCGACGTCGGTCTGCAGGAGCACTGCCAAGGTCGGTACCTGTCAGCCAGCACCTGGAAACATCAGAGCGTATGGCTAGCACCCTCTGCGCTTGAAGGCCTTGCACTGTGCGTTGTGCGTCCATGCGTTTCAAGATCACGGCAGGCGGGTGGCTTCGCACGTCTGGGACGCTCAGCCTTTGATCCAGGCCACTTCAGCGGGCTCGCCGATCTATGTGCCACGATGATGCAATTCGCCACACTTCAGGATCATATCACAGCCGTTGTGAGCATGCTGGAATGTTTATTCTCGATCGGCTGGCACAACAGGCCCAATCCCCAAAGCGTTTCCTTGCACACATCAAACTGCCGGGATGCAGCCCTGACGCCTCTAATCGGGTCGGTAAACACAGCCTATAACGGCCGATTACGACGTCTGGACCGGCCGACCGCGCGTGACGACGTGGTTGTGTTTACGGCAGGCGAGGCCTGCTGGTGGACCATCCACCCGGCCTCCAAGCAGAGGTCCGAGGGCGAGAAGGTGCGGGTGGGCGACGACCTGATCCTGGTGTCCGTCGCCACCGAGCGCTACCTGGTGAGCGCTGCACGGACGTGACTTCTACACCTGTCGCCTGACAACCGAGCGGGCACCACATGTCGTACGCTGTTCATGGTTCCGGTGCCACCTGGTTCTGCAGGTTCACCTGGTTCATGGGTGGTTCTGCGGCGGGATCCGGTGGCCCGCTGAGTGTCCTAAAGACTTGTTTTCGTGTATCGTCGTCGGGAGCAATATCCGCACGCCGGCGACACAAGGCGTGTTAAGTCCTGTAAGACCGTCAGGTGCAGTCTGACTAACGTCTCCATGACTCCTGCTAGCAGTAACTGCGCTGTAGTTGGACGCTGAAAGACACAAGGGCAGCAAGGTGGTGTCGCTCCGTTTTCCTTGGCAGCCGGGGTTGACCCGGCTGTTTGTTTCCAGCAAGCGACCTTGGAAAACGAGGTGCCGATCGTGAACGCCTCGTTCCACGTGACGCACTGGTCCGTGTCGCCGTTTGGGACGGGTCTCAGTCGCGTCAAATACGTCGGTGAGTTACGGGTGATAGTGGTGGAACATCGAAGAAACGAACTCCGTCACAAGCGTCTTTTGGTCATTCCTTGTTCGCATCAATCTTCCCGCATGCACTGCTGTGCGGTAGAAAACATATATGGACTTGCTCTATATCATCATATGATATGTATCATATGACAGCAGTTTTAAATGTTACACTAAGGCACGTTGCAGAGCCGGCGTCCGTTCATTGATGATACTGATGATATGCCTTTCAGGATACCTATTTGGTGGAGAGGTGTTGCGCTTCTTCCACGGAGGAGATGAATGCCTCACGATTCCCTCTAACTGGTCAGAGGACGACTCTCAGAAGTAAGCGGCTTTACGATGACCGACTTATAGCTATAGCACAATGGCGAGATTCCGCGACTTCATGTTTGCCATCTTTAATTGGCAAGTTTCAAACGGCCGCAGACTAGGGAATGAGTAATATATGATAACGTGACGGTTTAAGAAGAATGTTTGTCAGCTCTGTGGCCGCTTGCCTTTGGATCTGACCAGACGTCACCTGAAACAGCCCCACTTGACTTAGTCTGACCTGATCCGACCAGATCTGATATGACCTGACATGACATGACCTGACTCTGACCTGGCTCTGACCTGGCTCGACCTGGCCTGGCTCAACCTGGCCTGACCCGACCCGACCTGACCCGACCCGACCTGATGTGACTTGACCTGACCTGACGTGACGTGACGTGACTCGACGTGACCTGACCTGACCTGACGTGACTCGACCTGACCTGACCTGACCTGACCCGCAGTATCGTGGTGTACGAGGGCGGCAGCGTGGTGAGCCAGGCGCGCTCGCTGTGGCGGCTAGAGCTGGCCAGGACCAAGTGGTCGGGCGGCTACATCAACTGGTTCCACCCGATGAGGATCCGCCACATCACCACCGGCCGCTACCTGGGCATCAACGAGCAGAACGAGATCCGACTCATGCACAGGTGAGACGTGGCCAGCTGGGGTCAGGCGAGGTCAGTTGATCCGGCAGGCATGGCCCGGCGGGGGAGTCCGGCGTCCAGTGGTGTGGGCGAGGTTGAGCTGGCGATGGGCACTTGTCTAATTGTTGTGCTTTGTTGCTGCGAATTCACTGAACTATCCGCATGAAAAAGCACGTTTGTGGTGGTTTGTAACTTACGGTTCGCAGCCCTTGAAAAGAATTGCTGTTGGGGGCGTGTTCGTGTGCGCCCTGACGTCAACACTCCTGTTTTCGGGGATGCAGTGGTGAAAGATATGCAACTACAGGTTGACAAATTCGTTTAGCCCGCTCAAAAGGTTTTCTAGGGTCAGTGTCAGTCATGACAATCCGGTCATCGCGCTGTAAGATGAACTGCAAGCGAGTGTCAGTGTCGGCGTTGCTCGCGCCAGTGTGTTTCCCTAACGCGCGTTGCTCTTCGGAGGACCGACTCTTCGGTGGCGTCCACCACGTTCTACCTGCGCGAGGAGAAGGACGACAACAAGGTGATGCTGGAAGACAAGGACCTGGAGGTGATCGGCACGCCGCTCATCAAGTACGGCGACTCCACCGTCATCGTCCAGCACATCGAGTCCGGACTGTGGCTCTCCTACAAGGTCGGTGAGACGATCGGGTGCCGCGAGCGCTGGCGCTTTAGGAGGACTCCTCCAACATTTCAGCGGCGTGAAGCTGTAGCTGTACAGCTCTACGACCTCTTATCTGTGGCTTCACTCAATTCCGTGTTTGGATGACGTCAGTTCATTAGTTCTTCGCTGCAACCCCCGCGTCCTGAAGTCATTATCTAGTTGTGATTGTCTTCATGTGGACATAGCCCAGAACGTCTCGCTAACAACGGCGCGTGGCTTCTCGGCCATGGCAGGCGTTTGAGACGAAGAAGAAGGGCGTGGGAAAGGTGGAGGTGAAGCAGGCCATCCTTCACGAGGAGGGCAAGATGGACGACGGCTTGGAGTTCTCCCGGAGCCAGGACGAGGAGTCTCGCACCGCCCGGGTCATCCGCAAATGCAGCTCTCTCTTCACCAAGTTCATCAAGTGCGTGCTGCTTTGAGATCACATGCCCTCGAATTACTGGAGAATGTCGAGTATTTTATCGAGTTTTATTGCCGCACATGAGAAGCCTGAAAACTCGCCATGATTCGACGTTGACGGAGCAGGATTGAATCACGCTTGTTTACCTGGGAAGCAGGCCTGTGCGTTCCTCATCTTCTTCCACACATGAAGGGTGATGCAACCTGTTTTCACGTGATTCGGCCTGAAGCCAGTTGACACCCGAACTTCTCCAAGAGTATGCGTTAAACTTGCCTAGGTAGCTTGCATGCGACGCGCTCAATCTGTTATTTCACGCCCGAGCCGAATATGAACGACAGATGAGGACCCTACCCTTAACGGGATGTGACCCGACCCTCGGCGGGATGTGATCCGATCTTCAGAGGGATGTGACCTGGCCCTCAACGGAATGTGACCCGACCCTCAGCGGGATGTGTTTCGACCCCCAGTGGAATGTGATCCAACCCTCAGCGGGATGTGACTCTACCCTCAGCGGGATGTGACCCGACCCTTGACCCTCGGCGGGATGTGACCCGACCCTCAGCGGGGTGTTTGTCCTGACAGACAGCTGGACCAGATCCGCTCCGCCCGCCGCCACTCGGTCATGCTCGGCTCCATGAACTTGAAGGAGATCGTCATGTGTCTGGAGGATCTCATCAACTACTTCGCGCAGCCTGACGCCGAGATGGGTCAGTTACGTGGTGGCTGGGGCTCTGATGATGATGATGAAGTGGAAATATTGGTGCAGACAAGCTAGTGTGCGGCGGACGACAACTGATAATTTCGACGTGATATCAGCCTGAAAGTTAGAGGACAGGTGACTTCAGACCATTGGCGCTTTGCTTTCCATAAATAGGCGCTGCTGTAGTACATCCAACAGCCCAGATGAGTGTTTCACGGCAGCGGTCCCAGTTTCCTTTTGCGTTCTAATAATAGCCTGTGGGATTTTTCGTAGTGTTCGCGTCAGTTACTGTAACCGGTCCTATTCGGGACTTCTCGCGTCGCCAAGCTGCCAGAAACTACCCCTTAGTATGACCCCCTCCGTCCCATCCAGCTGACCGGCTGCTCCCCTTTTGCCCCTCAGACCACGAGGAACGTCAGATCAAGCTGCGGGCGCTGCGGAACCGACAGGACCTGTGCCAGGAGGAGGGCATCCTCAACCTCATCCTGGACGCCATCGACAAGATCACCGTGATCACCACCGAGGGCTACCTGGTGTCCCTGGCCGGCGAGGAGTCGGGCCAGATGTGGGACATCATCAGCAACTACCTGTACCAACTGCTCGGTAAGCGGCCGCCCTGAGGGTGGATGGGTCTTGTCGCAGTGTGGGATATCATCAGCAACTACCTGTACCAACTGCTCGGTACGTGGCCGCCCTGAGGTCGGATGGGTCTTGACACAGTGCGGTGAGCACTCCAGCCGCGTTATACCCTTTTCTTTATGTTCAGCTCGATGTATTTGGCACGATTTGACGCTGCGACCAGTGTCATTCTGTGATCATGTCTGCAGTGAGTAACACGTATGGAAAAGCTTTAAATTGATTAAAGCCTTCACACGCGCAATGCCTTTATGCTGTCATTGTGACGTGTGTGTTCAGCGGTGTCCACTGCCGATCGTCCCGCATATCAAAGCATCAGCTTGCTCTTAGACAAAACAAGACAAGAGAAGACAAGACAAGACAAGACAAGACAAGACAAGACAAGACAAGACAAGACAAGACAAGACAAGACAAGACAAGACATGATATCAGCGTGTTCTTAATGCGCATGGCCAGGCCCTTGTCTCGTGCCCCTGAGAAGATCTGACAAAAAGCACACCACCCAAAGTGGCACAACCCGACTTATCGCGATCGCTGACTGGTCGTGCGGATCAGCTGACGTGCCCCATGTTCCAGCGGCCATGATTAAGGGCAACCACAACAACTGCGCCCAGTTCGCCAACTCGATGCGGCTGAACTGGCTGTTCTCGAGGCTGGGATCGCAGGCGGGCGGCGAGGGCATGCTGGACGTGCTGCACTGTGTGCTCATCGACTCGCCGGAGGCGCTCATTGTCATGAAGGTCGGTGGCGGCTTCTGGAGTGGAAACGTGTTCAGGGTATCGGGGAAGTGCTGACGGACGTGACGGTGAGGAAGTAGACAGTAGACGTCGATATCGATAAGCTGCTGGAGGTTTTTCTGGGGGTTCAAAACTAGATGGACTAAGAGAAGGATAACTTCACTCTCATATTTTCGGCAGTTAAACGCTTTTCTTACTATGGTGCATAGGTAAAATCCTTTACCTATGAGACCAAGTGGTGGATGCTTTCCGCCTTAAGGCCCATCCAGACTCAATTATTGCTGATAGAGGCAAGAACACAGTACAGTTCCCTGAGCACAGTGCCCCGAAAAACGACTGTGTATCCGGCATCAGCACGTGCTATGACAGATGACATGGGCTGGCAAACGACACACGCAGGGACGCACACGCGTTTTTACCCGCGTCTGTAACGCGCCGCGTCCCGCGCACCGCAGGAGGAGCACATCAAGGTCATCATTTCAATCCTGGAGAAGCACGGCCGGGACCCCAAGGTGCTGGACGTGCTGCGGTCGCTCTGCGTCGGCAACGGCGTGGCTGTGCGCAGCTCGCAGAACAACATCTGCGACTACCTGCTGCCCGGCAAGTCGCTGCTGCTGCAGACCGCGCTCGTCGATCACGTCTCAAGGTCAGTCGAGGTCAAACTCCGCCGCATGGCCAGACCGTCGGGGCGTTGTCATGGGTGTGGCGTTGTATTGCTTTTTACGCCAGACGCCACCACATGCCCACGAGCCTCAGTGTGTGCTGCGACTAGCAGGTAAACCTGCACTATTGCGGCGAGTCGTTTTGCACAGAGTTTATCGCTGTGCGGTTTTCATTGTTCCCAAGTATCGTGACCCTGTCATGGATGGGAGTGGGGTCCAAGCCGTTCTTCCTTGTTCCAGCGTGCACCCGAATATCTACGTGGGCAAAGTGCAGGGCTCCTCCATGTACCTGCGGTGGTACTACGAGGTCACCGTGGACCACATCGAGCAGGTGTGTATCTGCTTCTTGCCTTGCCTCTCAAGGATCGTCGCCCTGTGAGTGAGGGCCTTCACCGAACTGCACCAGCTCGGCTTGACAGCTGTATGGTCTGTCACCAATCATCATCACTTTTGTCTTAAACGTGCTCTTGCAGTGCAAACGACGCAGGGTTTTGTATCTAAGCGCAGCCTTTACATAGTGATAAAGATCTTTACAATTGTATAAAACCTTTTAAATATGCAGATACGCCTTTACGTATATCTGTCATGGCTGTGCTGGCAAGGTATCTCCACCACCACACCCTGCAGCTGACTGATGCCCCGCCCCGCCCCCTTTCCACCTCTTCAGGCAAGCCACATGGCTCCTCATCTGCGCATGGGCTGGGCCAACACCATGGGTTACATCCCGTACCCGGGCGGTGGCGAGAAGTGGGGTGGTAACGGCGTCGGCGACGACCTCTACTCCTTCGGCTTCGACGGATCCCATCTCTGGACAGGTGGGCACTCCCCCAGGGATTGTGATTTCGTCGAAACGTCCGGCGTTGGGATTTCAGGCCCGCTGTTCGCCCGGGGATCACCAGGCTGCAGAGACGAAAATATTTGTTATACCGTCTGTCATCGTGTTAGGCAATAGCCAGAGCTGTTATGTGCAATCTTTTCCGTTTTTTCATGGCGGAAAAGATCCCGTTGCAAACTCCTATTACCTTGAATTTTGCTTCGTGTCATTACCACAAACATTTCGAAAGAACAGCAGCGTAAAAGCAGGTGAACGTCGTTGTGCTCCGGGAAAGAACAAAACACGCGGTAAATTTTGCGCTGTTGTGGAATGAGCACGATGCATAAGCTCTGTTCATCCTTAAATGCCAGGCTCTGCAAATTCCCCAATTACTGCCTGGTATCTGAATAAGGAAACCTCAGGCGCGACGAGTTGGCAGCGTTTATCTCCCATCACAATGTACTAACCCATTACCGCCATTGTAGGGGGTCGGAGGACGCTGGTGTTCCCGCAGGAGTCGGAGCCGTACATCAGGAAGGGCGACGTCATCGGCGTGCTGCTGGACCTGACTGTGCCCTGCATCGAGTTCACGTTCAACGGCGAGAAGATCAGGGGCTGCTTCCGGGACTTCAACTTGGACGGCATGTTCTTCCCAGTTATCAGCTGCTCCTCAAAGCTCAGGTGCCAACATCACTTTGTTCTTACAAACATAATGAATCTGTGCTACTGGCTGGTGTAAGTTACATGCTTTCTTTATTTCATTTGCCTTACTTTTGTCTCTTTTCTACCCAGCGGAACGAATGTATTTCAGTTTCTTGGAGGTAATATGCCAATTGCCCCTGAAGTCATCGGTTTACCATTTTATATAGCCAAGGTACATCTACCCGAACTCTTTCAAGCCCGGTCATCTTCGCCACATCTCTGGAGGAGCCAGCACCGACTGATCCCCCCCCCCCCTCGTCGGCATGCACCGCTCGTCAGCTCGTCCCCACTGATCTCCGAGACATGTCTGGTCAGGTAATGACCTGACATGTCAGGTCAGGGTAATAGGGGCCCTGAATCACCGGGCAGGCCACCGTCTACCAGACCTGTAATTGAGCTGGAATTTGATGCGTCTGCAGCGCGTGGTCAGTGAGGCTGTGACCCTGGTCAGAGCACAGCTGACATGACCTGGCCTGACCCGGGATGGGTCGGTAGCGCGCGTGGGCGAAGTCGCGACACGAACGCTGTGATCTACACACCATACCGTGCGCTACTGTGACCATAGCCAGAGAACAGCTGACGTGACCTGACCTGGTGGCGGTTCGGCAGCGCGCGGTTCCTGTTGGGCGGCGAGCACGGCCGGCAGAAGTTCGAGCCGCCTGAGGGCTTCTCGCCCGTCAGCGAGTGTCTGCTGCCCAGCCAGCAGATGTCCATCGACCCCTGCTTCCACTTTGGAGACCTGGCCAAGGGCGTGCTGGCCGGTCCGCTGGTCGAGCAGGAGGACCCCGTGTTCGTGCCTCAGCCCATCGACACATCGGCAGTGAGTGACGCCGTGACGCTCGTGGCGTGGATCGCTACGCTTTGACTAACTGAATGATTGAGTGAATGGGTGAGACGATGTTTGTTTGTCCTTGGCAGTTGCAGATATATTTGATTGCATATTCATGTGGCATGGTTAGTCAGAAGATGTTCGATATACGCCACTGCCAACGCGACCTTTTTTGATATATTTCCTTTTCAAACTGTAGCATGAAGCGACCATTAGAGCTGCTGTTTCAACAGCTGATACATTGGTCCCTAACAATGTCCGTGGGTCTACCTTAAATCATCGCTATTTCTGCCAGTCCCTTTGATCGTCACAAGCCGTCTATGTCTCATGTTTCAAAATTAAGGTGAAACACCCTGTGTATGTCGCATGCGCCAAACCTGGCAGGATAGTGGTCAAGCACAGTTTCCCTCGCGTCCGCCAGGTGACTCTGCCGCACTACGTGGAGCAGATCCGCGACCGTCTAGCCGAGAACATTCACGAGATCTGGGCGATGAACAAGATCGACGAGGGCTGGCGGTATGGGGAGGAGCGCGAGGACGAGTACATGCTGCACCCCTGCCTGACGCAGTTCGAGCGGTTGCCGCCCGCCGAGAAGCGCTACGACGTCCAGCTGGCGCTCCAGACGCTCAAGTACGTCGTGGAGGGGAGGAGAGGCCGAAGGGTGGCACTGTGACTGCAGCAGCACAGACGACGCCACAAGCTCACGTTCATTGATATTGCTTGATGGAGGCTTTCTACTCCGACGAAATGTAAATGCGTCATGTTTGCGCTCTCGCCCTACGCTTCTTTAATCCTCAGTAACTACCATGCCGATTTTTGCCGTTTTACTGATTCATGCTGTTTGCATCAACGCGAACATTCTCACCTGTGACAAAAACACTCCATTCCAACGGCTTCGCTGTCTTAGCTCAGCTCAGTTGTTCTTCATTTATGTCATTTTACCCTCGCCCCATCACCTGACGCTGGTGTAATACTCACTGGACACCCGTGTGTTCTATTTTCACCAGCGCCATGCGAGCGTGGCTGCGAGGTTTTGTACCCCTGCTATGGGCGGCTGTTACGTTGACCGTCTTATTGGTAGGACCATCATGAAGCTGGGCTACCACATCACGCTGGACAAGCCGCCCAATCGCATCAAGTCTATCCGGCTGCCGAACGATCCGTTCATGCAGCCGAACGGGTACAAGCCGGCCCCCCTGGACCTGTCGCAGGTGTCACTTAGTGGTAAGGCACCACCGAAGGCTGACTTTGCTGTTGAAAGTATGCGGTGATGAGCATATTACTGATAGTGTATGTAAGTCATGGCACGCTTCTGATTTCGCTGTACGGACACGCCCACCGATGCAAATATTGTAGTTATGATTTGTGAACGTACTGACCGCCGTGCTCCACTTATGCGACGCTGGCATTTATTTTAATGACGTGAAAGTCAAAGTTGATAAAGCCATTTGACCGTAAAACATCCTTGCATCACCCCCAGGCAAGTTGGAGGAGCTGGTGGAGAAGCTGGCAGAGAACACACACATGGTGTGGTCCAAGGAGAGGATCCAGCAGGGCTGGACTTACGGCCTCAATGAGGTGGGCACCCCGAGTGTTCGGCTGGGACGGCTCCGGCAGCACCACCACTGCGGTGGACGCTGCGGAGGGAGCCGCATTGGACTCATATGCATGTCTGGCACACCAGACGAAAACGTCGAAGCTCATTGATGAGTCGATTCCGCGCCGAAAAACACACCCCTGAAAGTGCGTTTGCTGGATGAGACAGCTTATCGTGGCCGACACAAACACGGGGACTTTGGTGAATTGTTAACGTAAACAAGATGTTTCTGTGAACGATGCGATGTGTGCGCGACTGATGTTTCGAAATGACTTTGACACTTCACACCGTCGCGAGTCGTGCTGACGCCGCCTGTGTCCAGGACATGGAGATGATCCGTACGCCGCACTTGGTGCCGTACCGCCGGGTGGACGAGGCCATCAAGAAGGCCAACAGGGACACGGCCAGCGAGGCAGTGCGCACGCTGCTCGTCTACGGCTACATCCTGGACCCGCCGTCCGAGCAGCACGACGAAGGTGCGGCTGGAGCGGCGTAGGGCTTCCTCCAGTGGGAAGGCGGCCTGACGGAACGCGATGATGCTGAACTGGGAAGGGGACGTTGTGTCCCTTGAGGATAGGGGGGGGGGGGGAGGGGGGAGAGGGGAGCGCAGTGATGTCGGGGTTTGAAAGAGACGTTGTATGCATTGAGAATAGGGGAGGGAAGGGGAAACGCGGTGATGCTGGGTTTTGAAAGGGACGCTACATATTTTGAGGACAGGTGATGGGAGGGGACGAGAGTAGTTGCGAAGCTTTAAGTAAAGTGCGATGGGGAAGATCGTTACCTGCACTCCAAAAAAATACGAAGACGAGGCACTGGGAACTACCGGTCAAAGCTTTTTGTAGTGTCCGGTGCGGCATAAGGTCATCTGGGTCACTAAGTGGCGTAACCGGGAGTTATGGTATATATATATATATATATATATATATATATATATATATATATATATATATATATATATATATATATATATATATATATATATTTCAGTAATGAGGACCTCATGTGAGAGCCCTCCAAAACAGTCTGTCAAACAGATGGAAGTGTGACGGGGTCCTTTGACTTGCTCCTACGTTTGGTAGGGCCGGCCAGCGATCTACTGAACGGGAGGGCCAACTACCGCACCTACCGGGCCGAGAAGACGTACGCCGTGAGCTCCGGCAAATGGTGAGCGACTCAAGGACTTCTCTCCTCTTTCGGAGTTGGCTTCACGCAAAGCCTTTGGTTCGCCATGTGCGAGTCCCGTTAGTTTCGTATGCTAAAGGACGCGTTGTTGCCAGGTGTTACTCATGGACAATTGCAGGTTGCAATGATATTGGGGCTTTCCTTCATTTTTTTTTTTTGTTCAGCTTGGTCTAGCGCCTCCGAAGCCTCCTGTAGAATTTGAAAACATTTAAGATTGTTCTGCATCATTCCTGACCTCTGTCCTTTCGATTATATATATGATGAATGACGACGTCTTGATTTCGTCGATCACATTCTCCTCTGCCCCTGATGCCGCTGTGGCAGTGCGTGACGGCTGCGATGCTGTCCGTTCCCGCCGCCAGGTATTTTGAGTTCGAAGTGCTGACGGACGGGCCCATGAAGGTGGGCTGGGCCCGCATCGACGCGTACCCGGGCCGCCAGATCGGTCAGGACGAGTCGTCCTGGGCGTTCGACGGATACCACGTACGTCACCGACTCCCCCCCCCCCCCCCCCCACTTCCACATTGAGTCTTGCACCGTTATCTCTTTGTCGATGAACTGGCGGCCCCTGCAAGTTCAAGGCTGTTCCTGGTGTTTCGACATGTCCTTTATTTCGCAAGCATAAATCTCTTGATGGTCGAAATGAGAGACGGTCATTTTGTTCGTCGTCGTCATGGCTGTTTAAACAGTGTCCTTGGTGATGCTATACCATGCTCCCTCTGGTGCGCCATGTTTTGCAGCCGCGCTTAACGCAGGGATAAAAGGAAGTAGCGGCGGCGAGCTTTTTTATTTTGCCTACTACTTAGTGTATGATTGTGTGTACAGAATAGAAGCATGCTAGCCATCTTATTTACTCAAACAAGACGGTTATATCGGATCACAATCGGCTTGTGAAGTAACGCGTTAACATGCCTTTGTTCTATGCATCGTGCCTCTGCATCAGCAAAACAACGGCCTGATTTTGATCGTTTTACGTCACCGTCGGACCATGCCGTCAGCCCCAACCCTCACACATGTAGCTTATACATCACAAGAGTCTAGTGCGCCCAGTGGATAACTGAGCCGATAGTGTTAGCTGTCGACTAACCTACGCCGCACCTGGCGCTGTGGAGGCCTTGGGGTGCGTCCGCTAGCAAGCCGCGACACGCCGGCGACGGTGTGGTAGCGCTAGCCGTTCAGGGTGGCCGCCGTGTCGGCGAGTGCGCTCGTGACCCGCTAACGGACACGGCGCCACCGCCAGGCGTATAAGCACCATAACCACCAGGTGGACATTTTGGGCCGCAAGTGGCACGTCGGTGATCTGGTCGGATGCATGCTCGATCTCCATGACCGCACCATCAGTGAGTAGTGACACGCTACACAGCCCAGCGCTCAGCTGACCCTCTTCTGCCGGGTGCATGGTGTTGGAGTCTCGTTCCCCTGTATCTCAACGTCCGTCCGTGTGCTTTGGTTTCGGTTTTTGGCCTCGTTAGGACGCCACATGTCGTGCTTCGTTTTGTTCCACTCGCGCACTAATGGCCGAAGCCCACTGACGCCTCTGCTGACCCGTGCCCTGCGCCGGCTGGCCTGAGATGACCTGACCTGACCTGACCTAACCTGAGCTGACCCGGCCGTCCAGGAGGAAAAGTGGTGCGGGGGTGCGTGCGAGACGTACGGCCACAAGTGGCACGTCGGTGACGTCATCGGCGTCTTTCTGGACCTGATTGACCGCACCGTCAGTAAGTCGGACCCGGAGGGGGGAGGGGGAGGGCACCGAGGACAAAACTCCAAGAGGTTTGGAAGTCCGGCGAGCCTTTTCCGGCTGTGACACCCGTGATGCAGACGCGCTGTCGTCACCGATGCACTCCGTGATACAGCTGTGGCTAGACTGGCGCCGGGGTGTCACGTGATCGACTCAATCGTATTCTGTGAACCAATATTCGCTCCGCGTTTGTAATGGCTTCTGTTTGATTGCCAGCGGCGCAAACGTCCTAGCATGTAGTTTGCATTTTTTGGATATGTTGTATTGTTGACGATATTATTCCCCTCAACCTGTTTTCGTATCATTTCAAGCTTTCTCTTCCATCGCTTCGATCGCAGAATGACTTTCTGGGTGCGTGATGCCTTTCGATATTACCTCTTGAAGGGATTTTGATGTACTTGAGCTTTAAAAACGTGTATAAGCAGTAAAGCCGCTCATGATTTGCAGACTTGTGACATTCCTCATTTAAAAACCAGCGGGACTGTCGTAGGTAGCCCCGCATCGGTAGCCCCGCAATTCCATAAACACATAGTAGATGTGATATTGGTAAATAAATCCGCGATGTCATGAAACATCTCTATTTCGGTCTTTTATCCCTTGAGCAGAATTGTTCTGAGTTTCTTCACTGACTGATCATCATTTAGTTTGGTCCCGGCGCGGGGCAAAGCCATGCCTTTGCTGACCTGATGATAATCAGACAGCGATGATCATCCCTCCCACTGACCCGCCACCGGCGCAGGCTTCTCGCTGAACGGCGAGCTAATGATGGACGCCATGGGCGGCGAGACGGCCTTCTCGGACGTGGTGGGCGACGCGTTCGTGCCCGCCTGCACGCTCGGGCTCTCGCAGCGAGCCCGGTTCGCGTTCGGACACGACGTGAACGCGCTCAAGTTCTTCACGCAGTGCGGACTCCAGGAGGGATACGAGCCGTTCTGCGTGTGAGTGGGCGGTGCGCGTTCTGTGGCGGTCTCCGCTGTCTGATGATCAGACTGGTTTCCCAGCGGACCTCGTGGTTTGTTTGAACGGATGAGTGCTACGAAACATTTCTGTTTCGATTTGACCAGTCGCCGGATAGATCTATGTGTACGCATAACTTTGTCTTAATCGTCCAAAAATATCGCTTCTTTCTTATTGCGGTATTTATCTGTGCAATTTATGCTTACGAACGTCGAATCTGTTAAAGACTGCTTATAATCCAGTTCGTCGTCGTCGACTCCGATTAATGGCTTGCAATATTTACGAGTTATCACTCTTAGCAACCTCTTGCGCTTCACAGCAATTACTTCAATGGATGTACTCATAGCAACGTTTGCTTACGGGAAACCGCGGATCACCGGTAGCCACCGCGGCGCGCTCATTACGTCAACACCCCAGCTAGCGTGCCGCGCCTCAGCCTGACCCGGTCTCGCCCCTCCCCCCGCAGCAACATGACGCGACCGATGACCTTCTGGTACACCAAGGACCAGCCGATCTTCGAGAACGTCGACGAGGTGGAGAACTCGCCCATTGACGTGACACGCATCCCGGCCGGCTCCGACTCGCCGCCCTGCCTGCGCATCTCGCACGCCACCTTCGAGACGCTGGAGAAGGCCAACTGGGAGTTCCTGAGGCTCTCGCTGCCCGTCACCTGCCAGACCGCCTTCATCGAGTGCGTCCACGCGCGACACAGGGGAGGGGGCAGTTCCAGTGAAGTGCGTTGATTTGTTGCGCTGGCTATGCTCACGTTCATGAAGTGGAGGGAGAGGGGCGGGGACATATCGTCTGTGGTGCGAGCTTGGCACAGAGCAGCTGCCGTCAAGGCAAACGACACGTGCTGGTGTGCACTGTGAGTGCGAAAATCATTATAAGCTACCGGCCGCAGCTAGGTGCCGCAGCTTTATTTTTTACCAAACATGAGGGCGAATATCGCACGGCTTCCGCAGTTATGGGGCGACATTTTCACAAGGAAGCTATTCGTGGCGAAATGCGCGGGCGGTTTCTGCTCAGAAGCCTCTGAACGTCAGGAGTTGGGCAGGCGTGCTTACCTGACACTGATCCCCAACACCGTGACCGGGCAGTGAGGCGGAGAAAGAGCGTCGCTGGAACGAGATCCGGATCCGCCAGCATCGGCTGCGGAACGAGGGCAAGCACCGGCCGCCGTCGGCGCTGAAGCAGTCCATGCTCGAGTCCGGCTTCACCATGTCCGACATCAAGGGTCAGTGACCTCGCCGTGTCGGACGTGAGGGGTCAGTGACCTCGTTGTATCGGACATTGAGAGTCCGTGACCTTGCTGTAACAGACGTCAAAGGTCAGTGACCCCACTAGCATATATATTGTTTTTGTTTAAACACACACCATCATGGGGTACTGGCTCTGCCATATCCTACGTCACAAGTCAGGGACATCGCTGCACCGGACTCGATAACCCTGACGTGTTTTCTGCCCGTTTCTCAGACCTGCAGAACGGCTTCGACGCCGTCGAGTCGGACGAGGTGATGATGAACGGCGCTAAGGTGGACGGCGAGACGCCCACGCCGGCCATACCGCGCCGAGGCAGTAAGTGGGGCTCCGCGCCGCTGGCCGGCGCGTCCGGGAGCAACTTCGCTTTAGCCATGGGCTTATTAGCTGTCATCTATTTCATCATAATCGGCTGTCATCTGATTCTAAAGGAAAGCTGTGAAAAGCGGAGCGATGATGAGCAGTGAAGCAGAATCTGTAAAAGGCTTCGAAGTAAATGGGGCCTCTCGTCACGTAGTAGCCGTATGTCCCTTGTGCGCACGTCAGTTTGGTTACCATGAATTTCCACCACGGCAACGGCAGAAGCTACCCGCGATGGAGTATGGGCCGCGCCTCAGTGTGTCCGCCACACAGCACTTCACGGCCGGCTGTGTGAAGGTAGATTTTCGACAGGTAAGATGGGCCGGGCGGCGAGCGAGATGGACATGCAGAGAGGGCGGCCCGCGGCCGCCAGGGAGAAGACGCCGCAGCCGGAGGGCAAGAAAAAAGAGCGCGGAAAATCTCCATTCAGGTGATGAGATCATCAGATATTTTCGATTTAAAAACCATGAAGTGACGCTCCGTCTGCTTCCAGGTCATGCATGCCAAATAGGCCCCTGAAATGGTTGGTTTTGATTTTGCTTGATGTGCACGTTTCAACATATGAAGTAATTCCGGTGCGCACTGCCTAACCGATATATTTCGAATTGCCCAAAGCATCGCACGGGAACTGAAAAATACCGTAGTAAGCTCGACAGACATTGCAGTGAAAATCTGTCCCGGTGTGAGTAGCTCTGTTGCCCTGCACCACACACTGAGCAGTGTTCCTTGGTTTGCAGGTTCTTCAAGAAGCGTGACCAGAGCACTGATCGCCTGGGCAAGCGGGGCAAGAGCCAGGACCGCGTGATTCCGACCCTGGAGCTGCCGCCGGAGCGGGGCCAGCCGCTCAGCGGTTTGCAGGTCACCAATCCGGCCGTGCGCATCTCCCAGGTCAGTCAGGTCACCAACTCGGTTGCCAGCTGCGACTGATCGCCATGCTACGAGATGCCAATCTGCATCTCCGAGTAAACCAGAACCACATGATGCAAAACCTTCATTCACTGACGACGTCTGTTGATGTGACCCGGACCTCCGCTGAGCCTCGCCGGCGTCGCCGCTGCCCCGTCCCCAGCCGACCCGCCCTGACCCAGGCCCCGCCCTCCTCCCGCCCCGGCAGGCGGACATGCGTCTGATGCCGCCGACCATCCCGGACCGGCTGACGCGGCAGCGGCTCTCCGTGACGAACCTGACGCAGATGGACGGCGAGCCCGGCGCCGACGACATCGGCGCCGCCTTCGACGCCGAGTGTCTGCGCCTCATCAACGAGTACTACTACGGCGTGCGCATCTTCCCGGGCCAGGACCCGGCGCACGTGTACGTGGGCTGGGTCACCACCCAGTACCACATCCACGGCACCACCTTCAGCCAGGAGGCGGCGCGCAAGGTCACCGTCGTTGAGACGGACGTCTACGGCGATCCGGAGGGAAGGTCAGTGCGGCTCATCCGTCACCTCGTGTGTGTCGGGGGAAGCTGAACTTTGAGCGTTTCACCACGCGTTTTGGGGATAAGCTCAACTGCTGGTATTCAGCAGACGGAGTTTTTTGGCGCGACTGTCTGTTTATATACTGCTTCTCACGATTTGATGAACAAAATGTGAAATTTGCGGTATGAACTTCGATTTATCACCAAGCATGTCCGTGTACAAGGCGTATAACAGCCACAGCCTTCAGTCTCCAGGCAGCGCTCCGCCGGGGTTCGGGTTGTGACGTCTTCCCTTCCTCCCCGCAGCGTGGACCGCCATAGCTGCTACATGGTGCGCGCTGATGACCTGCTGGCCGAGGTGTCGGCCGACGCCTCGGGCAAAGGTGCCTCGCAGGGTATGTCGATCGGGTGCTTCATCGACACCTCCACCGGCTTCATCACATTCACCTGCGAGGGCAAGGACACTACCATCAAGTTCAAGGTATCCCCCCTCCCGCCCTCCACCCCGATGCCACTAGTTCTGATAAAGCAGCAGCGGCTTTTTCGCAGCGGCGGCAAAGTTTGCAGTGTTTTAGAGCCTCTATGAATAGGCATGGGGATAATTTGACATTGTAATACAAAATGTGCCAAACTCTTACCGAGTACTAAAACACTATTTTGGTACGTGTTGCAAAGAACCAAAACGCTTCTTTCAACTTGCCCTCCCCATAGACTTTTGTGGTGTTTATGCTTCGGATAGGATGTTAGTGACCGCATCTGTGTCCGATGCATCACATCGTTGTTGGCGCGCGTGCGTTTGACGTTGGCACTACCAGAAGCCGCGGACATCAGGTCGTCCCGGTCTCACCGCCAATGTCCGTGACAGATGGAGCCGGGGGTGAAGCTGTTCCCGGCCGTGTTCGTCGAAGCGACGAGCAAGGACGTGCTGCAGATCGAGCTGGGGCGGACACCCACTTCACTGCCGCTGTCGGCGGCTGTGCTGCAGAGCTCCGAGAAACACGTGGTCCCGCAGGCACGTACGCCTGGGAGCGGACATGGGCGCGATGGCTGTGAAGTCAAGCGTGGCTTTTAAAGCTCAGAGAAATGCTTCATGCCACCTGAAAGTAATCGCGCTATGGGTGGAAAGTAAGGAGCAGTAGTGACAGAAGGTCATGACAAGTGAGCTAACCAACATCAGGTGGCAGGTTAGGTGACACTCATGCGAGGTCGCGCCGATTGGGGTGGCGGACCGTCCGCCGGCAAATAAGCGATCGTTTGCGTTTAACATTTTTTTTCACAAACACGTGCTGAGGCTTATGGCTTCTCAGTATTACCTTTTCCGATCCGTATGACCTTTGTATGAGTATCAGTTCGTCAGTCTGTATGCGATATTGTACCCACCGGTAATCTGGTTCTTTTCTTCATCCTGCTTTTATGAGTGCATTACTAAAACAATATCGTCGCCATGAGAGAATATATTGAATTGATATGCTCTAATGTTAAATCCATAGTGCAATAAGAATTCGCATAGCCTCGCACTCCTCATTTACTCTGACGTTGACGTTGATCCTGTGCGCCTACAGTTCCCGCCGCGGCTCAAGTTCCAGCTGCTGAAGCCGCATCAATGGGCGCGCGTGCCGAACAAATCGCTGCGCGTGCACGCTCTGAAGCTGTCGGACATCCGCGGCTGGTCCATCTACTGCGAGGACCCGGTGCCCATGCTGGCGCTGCACATCCCCGAGGAGGACCGCTGCATCGACATCCTGGAGCTGATCGAGCACGAGCGGCTCCTCAGGTCAGATCGGGCCGTCAGGTCAAATCGTGGCCCGCTGATCGCGGCCGGAGCCGCAGATCAATGGTCCGGATCGTCATGGGACAGATCCATTGATCGTCGCACTCGCTTCAGCGTCTTGTAATGTCAAGATTGACGCAGATGGACGTTGTTCGAGCGGGATGCCGGTCTGGTTGCCGTGACCACGTTTGTAAAAACATGCCGACCCGCCGATGAGGCTGCTGCCGATGCGTCTTTGATTGCAGGATTATTTTTGGTATTCAGTTCTATTGATACCAGCGCTGCATTAAGTTCATTGGCTGCTGTATTTCTAATCGTAGAAGATGTATATTTGACTATTTCCACAAAAGGGACATTGAAAAACTTTCCGAAGCCAGTGTCGGACCCAAATTAACTCCCAGTACCGCGCCATCGCCGGGTAGCAGTACGTGACGCGTCTCCCTCCGGGGTCGGCAGCTTCCACGCCCACACCCTGGAGCTGTACTGCGCCGTGTGCTTCCAATCCAACTACCGCGGCGCGCACATCCTCTGCCACCACGTGGACGACAAGCAGCTGCTGTACGCCATCCGAGCCGAGTACATGTCGGGCCCGCTGCGCACCGGCTTCTACGACCTGCTCATCGCCGTGCACATGGAGTCCCACGCCAACACCATGTCAGTGCCGGGGGCTGGGGAGCGGAGGAGGGAGGCGACTGCTGGGTTTGAGGGAGAGGGATGATTGAGAGAGGCGTGGCCGATTCCAGATTATTTGAGAAGGTCGGTCGTAAGCACAGGAATCCGTTGTGGGAGAGCTTGGCTGAATTTATCTGAATGGAATCGTCTGAGATTTAGGCGCTCGCCGACCGCTTGCATATTCTGGCCAAGAGGTGATATGCGGTGCGTAACACTGCGCTCGTTTAAGATCGGCTTGAAAGTTCGTCATGCCATGAAAACGCGTTTTTATTTCGAAGACGTCACGGGGAACTTTCAAGGTCGTGGTCCAGTCCACGACTGGGTGTTCAAGTTTGCGTTGTCAGCAAATCAGCGAATGCCATTCAGCCAGCCAGGCTCGGCAGCTCTGTGCGCTCCACCATCTACGTGACCTGACCTCGTGTCCCGCCCGCCTGACGGCCGGTCCCGTCGCCAGGGAGGTGACCAGCAACGAGTACGTCATCCCACTGGGGCCGGACCTGAAGGCGCTGTACGAGGAGCCGTCCATGGCGCACAGTCTGAGCGTACAGACCACCGAGTCGGTCCAGCCGGCCATGGCCACCTCGCCCATCTCCGACACCATCGGTACGGAGCGGAGGCTGTGGGGCCCCTGCGGCTGTCTGTCGCGCCCCTCTGTGTATGAGTGAAAAGTGGCGCTTGGTAAACTGCGTAAGCGTTTCCCATCTTCCGACGCGCAGCCTGAACGAACGAAAGCATGCAACAGTTTAACAACGTCTTTATTTCAATGTTTTCCCTTGTCACTTGTTTAGAGGACTTCGATTTGGAGGCAATTTTGATTTGTAAAAGGCGATAGAATTTTGGCTGTTCAAGCCACTGAGTTTCAAACAAATAATTCATTTCCGGCAATTTATTAAGCCTGGATGTAAGCAATAAATGCCTTGATCTCCGGTTTTTTCGGCAAAATGAGTTGAGAGTTCTTGCGACGATAGTACCCATAGGCGCTAACCTCACTGCTCGTGGCACCGACTATACGCTGTCTCCGCTGCCAGAGAACATCAGCGAGCTGACGATCCCGTACTTCGACTTCGAGACGGTGCGCATCTTTGTGATGGAGGCCCTCAAGGAGGCCTACGAGAAGAACCAGATCCATAACCGGGACTCAATCGGGGGCAGCAACGAGACGCTGTTTGTGTAAGCTTACCTCGGCGTCAGGTGTAATAAGTGAGGCAGGCTCTAATGGTGCACCTTACAGGAATGAGGCAGCGGAAGAGAATGGTTAACATAAATTTTACAGCAGTCAACGTGTGATAGCTTATTTATACCATAACTAAGTTTCATATTCCCATTTCATTCATATTTATATCACATCAATTCATAATCTCATTCTTGCGGTTGATGGTGGCCCAACATGTGTTGATGACGACACTACCTTTCTATTAGTCTGTCCTTTGGATCCTTCTGGAGTGCTTAAGGGATCTTGGGTGGTACCTTTGTAAAGTCATTGCATTTTAGCATATTAAGTACGCTAAATAGCACTTAAGCACAGATAGCCGAAGGCAAAAGACACGTTGTCTGTTATGAGCATCTTGTCTGTAAACATTCCGTATATTGTACTGACAGCCAATGTGGACATTTACTGCTGTCTGTGGGCTGGTCACGTGGTCCACTGTACCAATGTACATGTGTCATTCTCCAGGCCGCTGCTGAAGCTTTGCGACCGTTTACTGCTGATCGGATACCTGCGCGACGAGGACATCCAGGACCTGTTGGTGATGATCGACCACGCCTCCTGGGACGTCTCCTTCGATCCGGACGGAAAGGATCAGCACCGGTGGGTGGCGTGGGAGAACGGCCTTGCACGCGACGGGGACAGTGGTTTCCGTCGAATTTAGATTCGCTAAATGCTTAGGCCATTTTACACGCATTTCCGAACGTGGTACATGAGGGCAAGACCGACAGATATGTCTGCCGAAATAGTTCGTCTGTCTAAGTTAACAGCTAACCCTAGGTTGAGCCTGTATCATATTTTACATCACCGCTGCTATTTTACGTCCACTTTAACTGGATCCGCGCCGCCGCTAAGTCGCCCGTGCTGACATGACCTGGGCGTCCGTCAGGCGCGGCCTGCTGCAGATCAAGATGGCGGAGGGCGCTAAGCTGCAGCTCTGCTATCTGCTGCACCACCTGTACGACATCCAGCTGCGGCACCAGGTCGAGAGCATCGTCGCCTTCAGGTCAGTGTGCCGTGGCGACCCGTAAGGTCCGCGGTGGGTGGCGGTGGTGTGGTGCCACGGTAGAACGTCTGTGAGTCCCGCTGTGGTGTCACGCGCTGGAGGATGCCCGGCGTTGCCGCGTCCGCCGCTGAGCTGTACCGGGCGTCGAGGTGTCGGTACCATGTGTCGAAATGCCGACGTCGCCACGTATGAAAGCTGGGGACAGCGGGAAATCAGCGAGGAAAACCGGCGGCAAAATCAGTGACAGGCACGTGCGCGAAACGGCCGAGCCGTTTGCGCTACCGTAATTGCGGGCGCATTATTCGGAAGTGACTTGGTTTCTGCCAGCCATTACGTTCTTTGCGCCACTAAGGCAAGTCCGACACCCGAAAAGCTTGGGGGAAATTTCGGCCGACACATGCCTTTCTGCTCTCCTGCAGTCATGACTACGTGGGCGAGCTGCAGAAGGACCAGCTGCGCCGCTACGTCGAGATCAAGCAGTCCGAGCTGCCGTCCTCGGTCACCGCCAGGAAGACAAAGGAATTCCGGTGCCCACCACGAGAACAGGTTCGAAAGACGTCGAACGATGCAGGCTGTGACGAATGCACTGGGATCGCACGCAGCTGTAATTCCTGATTGCCGTCATGCCGCTGGTAACTGCTGCAGGCATTGGAGTCTGAGCGCGCCGCGGCGACTGGACCATAAAATGTTCAGCGCTGGGGATTTGAGCCGGACTCTGTCACAGCGCACCGTACTTCTCGCATTCACGCGGCCGCTGCGTGCCGTGTTTGCTGCTCTCAGTCACTGGTATTCCCGATCAATAGTTCGGGGAGGCACAGCGCAAGCAAGTATTCGGCATCAGTGAGCTCCTTCCCGCAGATGAACTCGATCCTGGGCTTCAAGAACCTGGAGGAGATTGACCCGGACGAGGTGTCGGTGGGCGAGGACTTAATCCAGCAGATGAAGGACTTCCACACGGCCCTGATGAGCAAGATCTCCATCTCTGGCGAGGAGGAAGCCGCCGGAGACGGGGAGGTGTGTAGACGGGGTGGGGAGGGGAGGGACTGGTTAGGCGGGGCACGCCAAGAGGAGGCACCCGGGTAGGGGATTTTTGTCCACAGGGTGGGGCTGGCGAGGCGGGGTGCAGCCAAGGAAGAGGCCGCCGGGAACGGGGAGGTGGTCGACGGGGCGAGGCTGGTGAGGCGGGACTAGGACGGGGCTAGCGAGGCGGGGTACAGCCAGGGAGGAGGCTGCCGAGGACGGGGAAATATGTGTACAGGGTGGGACTGGTTAGGCGGGGGTAGCCAAGGAGGAGGCTGCCGAGAACGGGGAGATATGTAGACAGGGTAGGGCTGGTAAGGCGGGATCAGCCAAGGAGGAGGCGCTGGGGGTGGGGAGGCGTGTCGACAGGGTGGGGCTGGTTAAGCGGGGTACAGCGAAGGAGCAGGCCGCCGGGGACGGAGGTGTGCAGACGGGACGAGGCTGGTTAGGCGGGATCAGTCGAGGAGGAGGCGCTGGGGGCGGGGAGGTGTGTCGACAAGGTGGGGCTGGTTAGGCGAGGTACAGCCAGGGTGGCAGCTGGTGACCACAGGCGTGTCGTGACGGGTTGCTGGCGAGAACATTTATGTGTCGGGGCGCTGAAGCTTGGTTTTTAACCCCTTCAACTGCAGTGAGGCCAAGGAAGTATTCTGTGAATGTCGATGCGCTTCTACATTGGTTGGTGGTGTTGGGCTATGAATTTTGCTTGCAGCAGACCATTTCATACACTTTTCTCTCAGGTGACCAGTTCGAAGACTTTTCTTTCCGTCAGCCACTTGGTAAACGTCTCTCTGAGTCTATCAGTTTGCAAACTTCGCTCTTAATTCATCAACGTATCACGAATTGCTTCGCTGGTCAAATATGAAATGGGCGCGTCGTGGTGACGTAGTCTCTGGTGGCCCATGCCACTGCGACCCTTTGTGGCAGCGCCCTGCCCTTGACATGGAAATATTAACATCGGCCAAACCCTCTCCCAGTGATGATGATCCAACTCACGTCTCGCCCACCAAAACCAGCCCATGTCCCGACGTAACAAACTTGTGCAGAATGTATCCCGTCGATGCTAGCCGTCCTCACCTGTGCGTCGACACGCGGATCCAGCTCCAGTGGTGACCTTTCCTGTATCACGCAGGAGCACTTGACCCCTGCCCCGTCAGCGATAATCTTCCATGACCTGCGCCCCGTCAGTGTTGACGTGACGCGACGTGACGTGACGTGGCGTAACTCTGTTCCGTCAGGCGGAGGGCGGTCAGCGGAGCTCGATGGGGGCTGCCTTCCTGAGTGTCATCGGCGTTGTGAAGCAGGCGCAAGCCATCGAGGTGGCCGGCGACGGCGCCGAAGAGGGGCCCGAGGACAAGTTCCGCAAGGTGCTCGTGCCCACCATCGTCCGCTGGGCCGAGGAGAGCTTCATCGAGGACTCCAAGCTCATCCGCGAGATGTTCAGGTCTGTGGCAGATGTGTGCGGTGAATGTACGTGTTCGCGATGGATGCTCGGATGGCATACAGGAACAGGTTGTGGGCATGCGATCTGTGGGAAGATGTCGTTTGAAAGTTAGTTGCATTGCAGAACCGATAACGATGTTTTAATTTAGGGTACGCTTCGACGGCAGCGGTCATTTTGTGCCCAGCATTACGAAACTGATTAGGTCTAAAGAAGATGTACGCCTGGTTGGATGTGTGATAAATGTCCAACCATCCAAGCCTGTTCGTTCTGGGAGGTGCCGCTTACCACTGGTGTAGAGGTGTCTTTCGTCTTTCTTTGTCTTTTTGTGCCTTTCCTTTGTCTCTTCCGGACGCATCATTACCAAATGGTGGCCCAGCGAACAACATTCTGCGATATGTTATTACCACCACTAAATGCTTTTGTAGCTAGCGCTGGCATGCTCAGATATTCACAGGTATCTTCTGGTCATGAGTACCTCTGAAACCGCGTATCTGCAATGATGCAGCATTCCATTTATGTGCCGCAGATTGCTGCTACGTCAGTACAACGCCGTGGGAGAGCTGATGAAGGCGCTGGAGAAGACGTATGTCATCAACGCTAAGACGCGGGAGGACGTGGCGCTGATGTGGCGCTTCCTCTCCAAGATCCGCGCGCTGCTGCCCGTCCAGATGTCCAACGAGGAGGAGGAGCTGGTCAGGAAGCTGCTGTGGTGAGTGGGGCATTTGGCGTCGTAGTCACGAGTGCGGACAAACAGGCGACGGTGGCAGAGGATAGTGGCGCAGCGAGGGGGGGGGGGGCAGCCCCGCTCCGGTTCCCCCCCCCTCCCCGTTTCAGGTGTGCATTATTTACATTTTAGTTCAATGACGTGATCCTGACAAATACAAAATTAATGCGCGCTTTAGATTGGACAGTACAGTGCCATAACCATTGACCAAGATGTATGCACTAAAAACAACTTTAAAGTGCTCCATTTTTCGATTTGCTTACCATCGTTCTCACTGAAGCCTCTCCCTCGTAACAGGAAATACTGGCTGTGCCCCAGGCGTAGGTGGTGACATGATGTGCATCAACAGACATGATTAAAGCCGTGCATCTTTGGGGGACACGGCCCTCTTGATGTTTGCCCCCCTTCCGTGTGAGGGTGAGCTCACACTAAAGTTGCTGAAAGCTCTGAAATACTGGAAAGGAGCTGTTTATGCGTCACGTTTCGCACAGAGGGGAGATAAAAATATATTCAAATGTTTTAACGCCTCGAAGTCGGGCACCGCAGGGTCCTTGGCTCCTACCATTAGCCCGATTAGGGACTTAACGGAGGTTCCTTCCGGATGTCACCTGTAACGCAGCGTAGCCAGGGGGACGGGGGAGGGTCCCAGAGCGTACCCAGTGCGTGTCCGTGGGGGAGAGGCTAAAAATTACAAAAAGGCGTAACGTAATTTATGGTTGTCTTCAGACTGATGTTCTTCCTAGAAATGAAGTCTTCGCTCCCGAAAAAAACTTTTAAAGCCCTGTCCGTATCAACGAAGTTCCTATAGATGAAAAAATGGCTTTTGAAACTCTGTTCCTAAAAGCGAAGTTCCTAGAAATAAACGTGACAAAAATTTTGAAAACGACATACCACGTAGCCTGTAGTATACAGTCCTTCAGTTTTTTACGTGGTATGATGACATATCTACTCGAGAGCTACTCTGGACTATTTTAGACTGCTGGACTTCATGGGCTGTAGAGCTATTTTTAACATGGGGCGTTCGCCCATGACCGGAGGGGGGGAGGGAGGCAGGTAGGTATTCAGCCCAATAGCCGAGCCAACCTGACAACGGTGGAAATCAGACCGCATTCTCCTACCAGCTAGCACCCCACATCTACCGCCTGCACCAGCACGGCCAGTCTGCACACTGCTTCCTGCGTGCGTTGACCCCACAGCGTCCTCCGACCGTGGCCGCGCCATGGCCTGCAGTCAGCGGCGGCGAGCCCCGATCGACCTGCGCCGGCGCCGGGCGGCCGTCGGAGCCGCCATCGGGGCCAAGGTCACTGTGCTCGCCCGGCTGCGCGTGCTTCGCCCGCGGCCCGGATGCGCCAGGGTTATGCCCGCCGGCGGATGGCGCGAGCTGGAGCGCGCGCCGCCAGTTTTGCACGGGTGTGACCTTGGCCGGGGCGTGCAAGGCCACTTCCTGTTCTGCAGCTGCGGCGCCGGTCCGCCGGCGGTGGGGTGTCCTGCCGGCCGCTGCTGGTGTGCACGGGACCGGCCCAATGGGAGACGCAGGGCGGAGGGTTGTGCTGCACCGGGTCCTGCCGCGTCGAGCGCGTTTATACAGTGGAACATCAAGGCCGCATGAACGCTCTGATGATGTCACGATATGATCGTCGCTCCACGCAAACTGATAAAAATAAGAATAAATGGTAGCCTCATTTCCTGTAAAGTGAGCATGGATGGGACAAATTCGTAAGCCGTCAATCACACTTGCGAAGAATCCGTCAGTCGTAATGATCTAAGCGGGGCAGGGGCGTAAGCGAGTTACCGAAATGGGATGACCTTAATATCACAAGGTCGCAACATAACATGTTTGTATCGCGTCAGAGAAGCAAATAATTTGTCCATGGCGCATAAGACAATCGCATGTTATCAATCTACTTATCTGTACATGTATATATAGGATTGCTAATTGTTGACAAACATTCACATGTATTTTACAACGTGCAACAGTTTGATAGGGGCCGCGCGCAGGGGGCATCCAGGGGGGGGGGGGGCGCAGCGGTGTCATGCCCCTTGGGCTCGGAAGGGACTCATAGGCTCTGAAAGAGCTCAAAGCCGGCAGGAACAGATGCTTTTTAACACAAAACGTAACAAAGCTGGACACTTTTGGGCTCCCACGCGTCCAAGACCAGTCGCAAGCGAAAGTGAAGGGCCACGACCATACAAAAATTATTCTTCACTGATTGTGAGGTTCGTGATCGGGATGCCATAGGGCTCATTACGCCTTACGATTAAGGCCCTACGCTGATTCTGGGAGACCTATATGCTCTTTTGTTGGGTCAGTCCAATCGTGGAGGAGCATTCCACGCTGCACTTACTTTCTTCGCATTTGCCCGGAGGGCCTTGAGCTGTTGCTGGGGCCCTTCCTGCTACCGTGCCGAGGCGCTCTTGTCAATCAGGAGCCTTTCACGGATTCTTTCCATTCGCCCGAAGCGCTCTGTACGCTATAACCGGGAACCACATATGTTAACCTGCCGGAATATTCTCGGTTGCTCAGAAGCCCTTCACGTTGGCCTCGCTTAGCCTACCGACACATTCGCGAGACGCCCATGGACTCCCCAAATTGGTCCAGGGCCTTTCAATTCACTGTCACTCACTTAGGGTCTATGCTCTTGTTGGGGCCCCATCTTTTAACCTGCTTGGGCACACACGGTCGTCCGGGCCTCTCCCAGCTGGGTCTTGGGCATTTACTGTTTCAATGGAGGGCTTACACGCTTGTCGAAGCCGCCATCCGTTGACCTGCTCGGGCACACAGGATTATTTGGTAGGCCTTGCACAAGGAGTATTTGAATGTAGGTAGGTTTATGTACGTAATTTTACGTGCCACTGACATACTGGGCGTATGTATATACATATATATATATATATATATATATATATATATATATATATATATATATATATATATTATATATATTATATATATACATACATATATATATATATATATATATATATATATATATATATATGCATGTATGTATATATATACATGTATATATATATATATATATATATATATATATATATATCATTTGTCTTAAAATTCAATAGAAGGATTATGGGCCTTTTGGAGGAGTCCCAGACTCTAGTTAGCCGCACAGTGTTGCATGGCCTCTCCCTTGACGAAATATTGGATGCGCCCCTGGAGGCGCGTGCCCCCTGGTGTCTTCCCCTGCATACGCCCTTGAGTCGAGATGTAGTGTAACAGGCTCCAGAGTATGAGTCATGTCGGATGCTCATAATATAACCACGGTAAAATTAAGATAGGTTTTTAGTTGAATTATTTCTCGCCCGCAAAATAATATGTTGTAGGTCATCGCTTCACTATGAGCCTAGACGACGGCCCCTCGCTGTCAACGAGGGGACGTCTCATCGCCGCTCATTACGTGGAGCTGAGGGGCACCGTGACGCGTTCGGCACTGACGTGCGGTGCGGAAGATCGAAGCGTGCGATGGTAATGGAAGCGTGCGATGGCAATGGAAGTAGCAATATCGAACGGATCTTTGTAATCAAGACGAAGTGCGTAAATGTTCGCGTGGTTGTGCAGAATGCGGGTGCGTAGGTGCAGGTGACCGCGGCAGCCACTTCAAATGGCGTATAGGTGACTGCTAACGACGATTAGCTTGACACGGGCGATCTGGAGTGGAGTCAGGTCAAAAGGCATTAGACTCTCTTTCCTACACCACAAGACAATCATGCTGACATTCTACTCTTGGTCCCTCGAGCCGTGTTCCCCGCCGTCGAGATGCATGCGGCATGACGAGCCGTCATAATCGGTGTCTTCTAGTCGTTCCTGTCGCCAGTCCACGCGAATCAACGTCCGCCATACACGCCTGTGTATGTAACCATGCACCGAACGGTACATGAGGTACATCCCCGCCTTGAGGCGAAAGAAGCGACGCTGTCGCTGAGGGATTTGTTTCGAGTGCGATGGCGACGAGCGTCCAGCAGCGACTCGCCTCACGCACGGCCTGCCCACCCTGCTTTGTGCCACGGCATCACGTTTTGCTACGTCGGTCATTCAACGTGGAGTTCATGTGAACGTCCGAGTAATGTTTCACGTCGGGTGTTTCTGTAGTCATTGTATTTCGATGCATTATTGTCATTTATTGTATTTGTGTCGCATTGTGCTATTACGTGTTCCGGGCCACTTCTCGTCATTAAATGGCGCGTGTTTATCTCCTCTACACCGGAACCACCTGTTTTCTTGCGCGTCCGGTCACAGCTACCGAGTTCTGCCTACCTTGCACGCCCAGACGCTCCGCCGGCAGCCAGACGCGCCCCGCTCTCGGGCAGCGGCGTCCCACACGCCTCCTGAGAACGTCTGCCGCCCCGGTCCTGAATGGCCGGCAGGTGGTCACGTGCCGGGCCCGGCCAATCCGGGTGGAGCCCGCGCCTCCATGGTTGCGCTTTACGCCACCGAATTCATGATCGGCCAGTAGCTGCACATAACACGGCGCGGGCAATGACCTTGGAGGTGGCGGCCCTGATCATGACACGGCCGAGCATGGCCGCGCGGCTGGCGTCGGCGGCGGAGGTAGACGGCTCAGGGGAGGGAGGCAGCGGGAGCGATGCCGGGGTCGATTCCTGCGCGCCACGCTGACTGTTCGTCTTAGATACCGAACGGAATTTGGTATCCGCATCATTTATGGATCTGTCCGCGCGACAGGTCGTACGGGATGTTCGAGAAACTACAAAAATATGTTCTGTGCGCTGGGTTCCAACCGCCGTTACACATCCGCTTATGCAAGCGCCTGGGCGTCAGCTCTCGTGGTCGTGCTACGGCCAGCACGTTGCCGTGGCAACCAAAGACTTGGCGTGGATCAGAATGGTCGGAGTTAAGTGCTGCCTCCGTCACGTTCGGAAGGATTAGGTTGGTGGATGTGCGAGGGCTCCCCTGGTCTTGGGGGAAGCCTGGTCCGGGCTAGCACCCGCGAGGCCCCAGTTATATCCCGCGCGCCGTTGCCGCATGATCGGAGGCGCAAAGCGTTGGTGCAAAGCAAGATTGCATACGAGTCAGCTGAGCGCCATGGAACTGGGCTGGGCTGCCGGCCAGGCTGCTGGTCCCTTGGCCGGTACCGCGCACTGATGTCCGGTGGTACACGAGTGTACAAGATAAATTTAAGTGATCAGGGGTGAGGCCGTCCAAAATGGGTATGCGTGCACCCATATGAACGCCCGGCGATTTGGATTCTGGCGTTTGGAGCATGCCCCAGTATGCGCATACAGTAGTGCCAATGAATTGGTTCTGCTTTTACGTTAACTTTGGAATTGGGAACCTTATTCTTCACGGTCTCTTGAACAGGACCGGAGGTCAGATATTCATCATCACCACAGAATCAACCGGGCGCGCCGATGAAGGCTTTCGTGGAAATTCAAGCTATAGTGACATGGTGCCGCGATCTCGGTGAATCGAAATTGACCTTCAAACCATCGATTTCCTTAGAACGTTTGGTTGGAACAAATGCAAATGTCACACTGAAATGGTTGGGATGTTAAAAGCCCACCGCTGCTCCGCCTGGCCTGTTTTGGTGTGGCAGGGAGTCGGTTTTCCCGACCGCTATATACGCTCCTTCTCACTGGCTAACTACTATTATAACGCCGTGGGAGGAAGTTATTGTGATGGTGTGAAGAAGGCTCTGATCCAGCCACCCGAACGTGCTGACCTGAGCCATTCTGTTCCGCAGGTCCCTGGTGAACAATCACGTGTTCTTCCAGCACCCGGACCTGGTGCGCATCCTGCGGATCCACGAGAACGTGATGGCCATCATGATGAACACGCTGGCGCGGAGGTCACAGGCCGAGAACGAGTCGGCGGCCAGCACCGAGGCGGACCACAAGGTCAGGTCAGGGGAGGTTGCCCAGCACGGGCAGGACACAAGGCGGGGCGCCCAGCATGGGGACACGTGCAAGGTCAGGTCTCGGGGGTGCTGTCTTTCACATCAGATCACAAGATCAAGTCTCCTGAGGGACGTGGGCCAAACAGAGTTCAGAACAACAGCCTGTAGACAGAAGTCTGGTCTGAGGGTAGCTGGGTTGGGGAAGGCACTGCTGCACGTCCCCCTACCTCGCTTTCGCTCGCTATGCATTTCGTGTTCTGGCGCGGTGTACACTGCACATTGCTTGCTTGCTCGCGTGCTGTCCGCTGGTGTGCTGATGTATGGCTTTGATATATAGTATATAGTGATCTGCCTCGCACCGGGCTGTAGCTCCGCCATAGAAGAAAGCCGACTAAAGCAAGGTTGTTTCATTTTGCTTTCGCGAGCCCTTTTGCGCTTGTGGTATACATCCCGTATGGCGTGTTTCTTAGTTCCAAGCGCCCGTGGGAGTTAACTATGGATTATTGATGCGGTTTTTAATGGTGCCTTCTATTTACAGTTTCTTTTACCGGCTATTCGTGCTAGCTTGTTTGCTTGAGCGCCCATTTTTGGTGTAGCTTCCACGCATCCATTGTCTTTTTTGCTTGAACAGACAGTTAATCGCAATCGGTCACTGAGCGCCCTGGTCTCGTTATATACTATTCCTGCCAGGTTTATTCATTTTATTGCCAACTTAACGCATCCAAGTAGGCCCATCTCAGTTGATATGCACATGGACAGAGCACTTTCCTGCCTTAGACTTGTTGACTTTTGCAAGTTAATTTGTCACCCTCGGAGCTTCCCTAGGACTGCTGCTTGTGGCCGACGCCGCCATACGTGGTCCCCGTTTATTTCACCTTTCAACCTGGCGTTTCGTTTTTAGATGGCTCACGAGCAGATGTCGACGGCTAAGGTGAGAACCGCTTTCGCATGAAGGCTCGCTTCTGATCGGCTGTCTCCGCTAACCCCGTCTCTCGCTGGAAGTGACGTCACATTCTTGGCTAGAGATTAGAGCGCTGTTGTAAAGTGAATCACTTTTTGTCTCACTGGCGTTGTGTCGAATTTGGCGGGTGTTGCGTGAGTCTCATGCCTGATTGTTTACCTCGTGCCTTTGCTAAATATTGTTCTTCGATTTGATAAACGATGTTTGCAGTATTTTCATGAGATTTGTGTATTTGAAGTATTTAGTAGATGTAGACAGTGACACTTGTAAATAAGGCAGGTACTATAAATATCACCGTAGCGCAAATAACTTTACGATTTTGTCAAAATATTCACCAGTTCAATGACAAATTCCTTGGCATATGGAGAGGCAACATGCTGATTTTTGTGGTGATCTGTTAGATTTGGACGTAAGCAGCTTTTTGGAATTATCGTCAGTGTAGAAACCGTTTCAGGAAAACAATTATTGACTTGTTCGGAGTAACGGTTCTGGAGTGACGTCTCGAGGATTTTAGAGGATGCGTTACAGGTTGTCTTTCGAGGCATGCCAAACCTGTAATCCATTTTTAAACGATGAATGGGCCATATAATGAATGAATGGGATGGGAAATTAAACGCTAGGTTCAGTTTTTCATATCGATGTTGTCTAATGCAATGAACTTGTGAATTGCAACCTGCGTGAAGTATGTCGACCTCAAATATTGTAAGACTGAAATTGTTGACAACGCAACTGCTTGCTTTGCGACATAGCAGCGACATAGTCCGTTTGATGCAGCTTTTACCTACCATGGTAACTGAGGATCAGTGGTTTGATTGTCTTTTGCTTTGGTGTTTTTATTGGCCTCTTTCCACGCTATTTCGTAATGATTTAATGCTTCTGTTTCCACTCGACCACAAATCTGCTGCTATAAAACCTAACAAGGTTGTTAGTTCAAGCGTGGCCAAAATGAACGATACAACATTGTGAATAGATTAGAAACAACACTTATAATCCTAACAGGATTCGCTTTTCGCGGTATCACCAGCACATTCAGTTTATTTACGTCAGATTAGTTGGTCTGTCCCGGTGGCACAGTTGGTTGGGGCGCCTGCCTCCCGATCCACCCTCCCGTGGCAGGGCGGGTTCGAGTCGCTTTAGGGCGCTCGCTATTTGCCCTTGGCAGGTATGGCCTGCGGCCGGTGGCAGTGGTCGCGCTAAGGGTCAGTTGACGTCAGGGGGCAGGGCGGAAAGTGCCGAGCATTGCGGCGCGTTAAGCTTTCGCCACTAAATTCTGCCGTTGCCTGGAATTGCGCGATCGGATGGTGGGGGTCAGGGCTCACACAAGAAGCGCTGCTTAGCGTGAGCGCTGATCCCAAAAATCCATTCATTCAAAAGGTTCGGATCAAAATAAAAAGAAATAACTGGGATTTTAACTCGCTTGTTGTGTCTATAAGTCATAAAACACCAGGTCATAGGACCTTTATTATTTCAATGCATAGTACATAAATATTCATATGAACAGTTGATACAACACATAAATATTAATAGGCCACGTGCTTTGTTAATGCAATACCAAACTCAAGTTACTTCCCGAAGTCACCATGTTACTTCCAAGGTACTTCCTGGATATTTCTTGCAAATTTCAAACCCGAAAATATATGCTTTTGTGGTGCTTACACGCACCACAAGAAACGCTGCTTGGCGTGAGCGCTGATCCCAAAAATCCATTCATTCAAAAGGTTCGGATCAAAATAAAAAGAAATAACTGGGAAGTCTCATTGTAAAGGTCTCCGAGGAAAATAATGCCGTACAGGTGGACACACGTGCTTAACATAGTTGCAACATCTGAGCTGTTCTGACTGAGTTAATGGTGTCAGAAACAGCACGAATGTGCCGGTGAGATCTTTTTTATTGCGTCGGCTTATGAGCAGACGTGCACATGTCACGCGCGGATAGCAACGTACAAAGAATGAACGCATTTCAAATGCAGCTCGAAATCCACTGCATTTGCACGTAAGCGTTCATTTTGTACGGTCGTCTGCGCTGACAACTGAGGCATTTCTTGCGAAACTTTTTTCTTCTGTCCACTTCGATGCGGTGGCTTGCTGGTCGCCGCGAGAGGGTTGTATTGACATCACACCCTCACGTGTGGCACATGCGCAGGACACCTCGCACGAGATGGTGGTGGCCTGCTGCCGCTTCCTCTGCTACTTCTGCCGCACGTCGCGCCAGAACCAGAAGGCCATGTTCGACCACCTGCAGTTCCTACTGGAGAACTCAAACATCCTGCTGTCACGACCCTCGCTGCGGGGCAGCACGCCCCTCGACGTCAGCTACTCCTCCCTCATGGACAACACGGAGCTGGCGCTAGCGCTGAGGTGAGTTCACTAACCTCGACGACAGCTGCTCCTCCCTTATGGACAACACAGAGCTGGCGCTGGCGCTGGGGTAAGTTTACTACCGTCGACGGCAGTTACTCCTCCAACACGGACAACACGGAACTGGCACTAGCACTGAGTTAAGTTCGCTGCCAGCGGAGACAGTGGCTCCTCCCTCATAGACACCACGGAGCTGGAGCTGGCGCTGGGGTGAGTCCACCAATCACCACAGGCCACCTCTTCCTTACGGACGACACGGGGCTGGCGCTGGTGCTAAGTTAAGCGCACGATCGCCTGACCAGAACAAATCCTTTGACGCTACATCACCTCTCACAGACAATGTGGAATTGGCAATGGCAGTGCAGTAAGAGGCAGACAGCTGCTGTATGCCATTCAAATGATAGTCTTTGGTGATGGTGATGCCGCGTTTTGTTGTGGCAATTTTGTAAACCGAGGGATGTCGCTATGTCGGGGAATCTTCCATGATGACCACGAACACTTCCTTCAACTTATGCAGTCTTTTATCTTTCGCAGTATAATGATCAGCGAGATACGCTATGAGAAATGAAATACATTTAAGAGCTCTGCCTTGCGTTTTGAAAAAAAAACGCCCGCGATTTGTCTCAATTTCATACAGTTTGGAACCCGGTGAAGCAATCCGTGAAACTGATTTGTGAAACTGACGATGTACGCATGCCCCCAGTGTCGTTGGTGTATACACCTTATAATTGGACAAGCCTTCAGCCGTGCAATGTAGTGGTGAAGTTCCTCTTAGTTCTCTTGATAGCAGGCTTGTTTTATGCAGGAGACTTCAGCTTTTTCGGATGTAGGCACAGGTGTTGATGGATTATGTCCGTGTTGATTGTCTGGGGCAAGAAACTTTGATGGAGTAGGTGACGAACTATCACTAATTTGACTCCGTATGACAGTGGCGCGAGACGTTCCCACCCGTGACCGTCACCCGGCGTCCATCCGCAGGGAGCACTACCTGGAGAAGATCGCCGTGTACTTGTCGCGCTGCGGCCTCCAGTCCAACAGCGAACTGGTGGCGCGCGGCTACCCTGACCTCGGCTGGGACCCGGTGGAGGGCGAGCGGTACCTGGACTTCCTCCGCTTCTGCGTCTGGGTCGGAGGTACGGCGCCTGGCGCGCCGACGCCAGGGACTCCCGGGTGACCGGATACCGCTGTAGTTTGCTGGCAGGCTTTTTGTGGGGGTGGGCTTGGTGCTGGTTTTTGAAGGACGTTGCTCGAAATGCTCGAGCCTTGCCGATGACTCAAAATCAGCAGACACACCGGTGGAAGTTAATTGGCCGGCGCATGCGCTGGGACTCTAGAAATAGCGATGATGTTTGGGAGCGACGCTGCTGATAATATCACCGAAGGATCAGTGCTTGCCGCCTGCTGGTGACGCTCGTGACGCTGCTCGCCTGTGGCTCCCAGGCGAGAGTGTGGAGGAGAAACGCGAACCTGGTGATCCGGCTGCTGATCCGGCGGCCTGAGTGTCCTGGGTCCGGCGCTGCGCGGCGAGGGTGAGGGACTGCTCAACGCTATCAACCAGGGCCAACAAGGTGAGCGCGGCCAGGCTCTGGCCGCGGCGGGTCTGACGACCTGCTCTGCAGAGGGCCGCGGCGGGACTGGCGACCTGCTCTGCGGACGACCGCGGCTGGACTGGGGGCCTGCGCTGCGGAGGGTCGCAGCGGGACCGGGGGCCTACTCTGCGGAGGACCGTGGCGGGACTGGGGACCTGCTCTGCGGAGGGCCGCGGCGGGACTGGGGGCCTGCTCTGCGGAGGGCCGCGGCGGGACTGGGGACCTGCTCTGCGGAGGGCCGCAGCGGGACTGGGGGCCTGGCCTGCGGAGGGCCGCGCACGGGACTCGGGACCTGCTCTGGCGACGCCGCGCTGTTCATGCAGGGATCCTTGTGTAGACGATCAGAAGCTGACGTTTACACAGTTTACGACTGTGCAAGCAAAGAAGGCAAGCTGGTCTGTGAATGCATGTGGGACGTTTCCTGCAGTTGTTGTAAAAGAAAGTGAGAAGAAGACTTGAAGTTTATTTTTCCATGATGTGCGAATGGTTAATATGGTACGCTACAATAACACATTTCAATTATAGTGGTATTTGGATACTGTGCAACTAATTAAAATTCGATATTCCGTCTGTTGCGAGAAACTGGTGTTTGATTCACGGCGTTATCTTGTACAATACGAGTTTTTCTATCGCCAAGTGGGTAACGATACCATCCGCCGGTTTTCGATGCGTCCAGATGGCTGAGCGCATCGACGCCCAGAACAACGGAGCGATCGAAGCAGACTGGGGGCGCCTTCAGTAACCACCCCAAGCCCCTCAGCGACGACGACGAGGACTACATCAACACGGGCGCGGCCATCCTCAACTTCTACTGCACGCTGGTGGACGTGATGGGGCCGCTCCTCGCCCGAGGAGTTCCTCATCGAACAGGTACGCTGAGGACTGTCCTCCGGTCGGCCGGCACGGGGCGGGTGGTGTTTACAAGGCGTTATGACAGCGCTGACGAGCGGTGGTGTTTGACCGTCTGGTCAGGATGGTGTGCGGGATGGTGGCGGTATGGTCGGTGGTGGTGATAGCCGGGGTGGCGATCGATATTGCGACAGGTTTAATGGTTTTAAAGATTTACGCCGTGTAGTCGTTTTGCGTGCTGAAGAGCTATTTGCGGAACGTTGGATTGTTTACAGATGAATCCGTTCTACAACCTATCTGATTCTTAGACGACATAGTTGTTCAGGCATGATCGAGGAATGTCTCGCACATCGAACGAGTAGAACGGAACGTAAAATACTGACTAAACCAACGAGTATGCTCGAATGGCCTTGCCCGCTACCAGTATTCTTGTTCGGACCCGCGTCTGACGTGTCCGTTCTTGCCCTCCCAGGGGAAGAACGAGTCTCTGCGAGCTCGCGCCATCCTGCGTTCGCTGGTGCCACTGTCCGACCTGGAGGGTGTGTTGAGCCTGCCGTTCACCCTGCGGGACGGCGAGGCAGAGGACGCCCTCCAGCAGCGACATGCCCGCAGGTCAGGCCTCGACCAGATGAGGTCAATGATGAGGTAAGGTCAGGTCACCCTTTGCCTGACCCAGGGACCTTGAAGACGCGCAGCGTCGGTAAGGGAGAATTTTGACGGACCATCCCTCACGTAAGGGATCAGAATTGACAAATATTAGCATTTTCGAAGCGCATTCGTGCATCTTATATGCAGCTTTCATGACCAAGAGCTTTCAGATCACCGTATCGCCAGATTGTGACTTGTGACTCGACTCCATGTCGGTGCCCTTTCAGGCCTGATTCCTTCTCACAAGCAGTCAGTGGTGCTCTTCCTGGAGCGCGTGTACGGCATCGAGGACCGCGAGCTCTTCTTCCGCCTGCTGGAGTTTGCCTTCCTGCCCGACCTGCGCGCTGCCACCGTCCTGGATAAGGTGACGCAAGCTTGCTGCTCCTCCAGCATACCTGACCACTGGTGGTACCCGTACGGGCTGGATTGGCAATGTGCTGAATTGGAAGCCTAGGTAAAATTATAATGTCGTGCTCGCTCCGTGGACTTCGGATATTGGTGCTTGTGCTCTGATGTGTTGTGGAAAGATCTCCGTGGTGCCAATGTGGCGACTTGTCCGAAAAAAAAAACGGTGCTTGAAAACGAATGAAGCTTGTGTCGGTTTTTCATCATCCCGATCAAGATAGCAGCCACAGTACCCATCGACACGTGCTGCCTCGCGCCGCTCCGCCGTCACTCCGCTGCCTCCGCCCACCCTGAGGCCCAGGTCATGAGGCCGCCCTGCTGCGTCGGCAGAGCGACGGAGGCGAGTCCGACATGGGCCTGGCGCTGAACCGCTACATCGGCAACTCGATCCTGCCGCTGCTCATCAAGCACTCGCGCTTCTACGCCGACGCCGACAACTACTCCAGCCTGCTGGACGCACGCTGCACACCGTGTACCGGCTGAGCAAGAAACAGGATTCTGACCAAGGGCCAGCGGGAGGCCGTGTCCGACTTCTCGTCACGCTCACCAGGTCGGCCGCAGTGCGGGCGTGTGGTGACGACTGGTGGTGCGTTGAGGGTGAAAGTATATCGCCGGGTATATGTAGACACATGTGTAGTGCTCACATTCTATGTGCTGGTGCTCTAAACGCGCCTCGGGAGGCATTGACAGTTGATAAATTCGCGCTGTTATGCTCATAATCAGGCTTTTTGTCACTACGCTTGCACCTCTACCGGATGGTGTGTACGGCCCATCAGA